CTCAAAAGCTTTTTATGACAGCGCGCTGGAAGAATTACGCATGGTAGAATGCTAGAATGCTTGGAACTCAGTGATTTCCATTTGGATGAAATTGGCTCTCAATCGAGATCGTTGAAATAACTTGTTGAATGAAGGCAACACCAGACATAGTGTCCATAATAATGATTATTAGATAGAATTTCTATGTGCACTTGTGCTTATTCAAGAGGAATTTATAAAGGTGCCATAATCATGATCTAATATGATACTCAATGAGTGAAAGAATAAAGATTGCTGTAGTTGTGGTATATAATCAGAATGTCTATTGTTAGTATCAGCCAGAGATACTCAGACGTAAAATCTTTTTCAGGCCCAAAACCTCATTATCGGTTTGAATGTCTATTAAGTTCCTATACCTCTTCCTATACTTCCTGGGTACGTTATGTTATAAAAAGTGTATAATTATATATTATATGAATTGCAAAAATACATCCGATAATTTATTCTAAGTTAATTTTAGATGTGTACAAAATACTTTACTCGAACATTCTAAAACAGATCTTTGGAATAAATCTATCATAAACACGGACAATGCTATAATAATAATATTAAAGAAATTTCTAAATGATTGGGTAAACGAAATAGGGTTCAGGAACAATGTGTATAGTTTAAAAATTGGCAAAACTTTAAGCAAAATTGATTATTGTTTAATAAACTTACTCAGTTATATATTTTAATTTACATCATGTAACAATAATTAATTATTATTAATATTATTCATAGTGGAGTCAGACGAGTCCCCAGAAGTTAACTATCGCATCAAGCACAGCTGTGAAAAATAAACGTTTTCAAGTGTAAATTTTCACGCAAACGCACACAAATAACGTCCTTTGAAAGGACGACGTTAGGCACTTTACCCTCATATAAAGTTTCACTGCTATGGCAAATTGAATGGAATCCTTTTTCCCTTCTCACCTCCTTTCATGCCGTTTTTTGTTTTTTGTTCTTTGTTTTGTGTTTTTGGCTTTCATAATATTTTTCATTGTAACACTCCATGTTTTTTAAACAAACAAATTTTCTCTTCCACTAAATTGAAGCCAAATCGGTAGGTGGCGTGCGGCGTGATTGCCACATATTGTGGCCTGTTTTGATTCCTGTTAATATGCACGGGAATGTGTCGACTTTTTACGAAAATGTGAAACAATACAGATATTGCTTTTATTATAAATTATTATTAAATGTAATAAATTATGAATTTCATTATGCTTTGCTTTGGTTAACGTCCAATAACACGAGTGTTAAATGGCAATCATAAATTTCAAATTTCAAAGGATATAATGGCGCAAAAACGGTGTTTGCTTATTTTTAAATAATTTTTTTTTCCTTTTTTATTTAATTAAAAATAAAATTTTTTATCACAAAGTTTAGCTCTCACAAACAGTAAGGTAAAATGTAAAATGTGAGAAAGGTCAGCTTATGTTACAAAGCTATTATTCAATACAGATTTTCTTGGAAGGATAAGATTAAGCCAAGGGGAATAATGACAATATGCTTAAGTTGAAGTTAGAAAAGGTTAAAAAGTTTATAAAAATTGAAGATATTTTTCAGAAAATATCACTGCAAAAAGCTTTTAATGTCTAAATGTTTCCAGAAAATTAGGTAAAATTTAATGAAAATATAACATGAAAAAAATTTAATAAATACTAAAATGAAAATCATCACAACACAAAATAATTTAATAATATCTTCATAAAAAAATTTATTTATTTATTATTAAATTAAAAATTAAAATATTCGTTGTTTCACGGTTTGATGAGAACAGTAAAGATTTATCTACTATAAGCTAAAACCGATTGAAACTATCTATAGGCTATCATTCGAAAAATATAGCCATTGATGGTTTCAATATGTTTTAAGCCATAATAGATAAATCCCTACTACACCCATCATCAATTGATTCATTTAAGCCATGCATTAAGTAAGAAACGGCTAGAATATTTTGAAAAATATGACAAAGCCGTTTCAAAACTTGTTAATGCTCGCCAGCATATTGCAAAATTAATCCAAATATACTAGGAAATGCTCAAATGGGAAGTTATATCCCACCTATCGTATTCTTCACACATTGTTCTTCCTAACTAATACTTGTTCCAATGGATAACACATAACCCATTTGAATTGCTGAAACGCAGTTCCGTGCATTCGAAGAAGTCAAAAACTGAATAATATGTTATATATCAATTGTCTTAAAAAATTAGGTCCCTTTTTTGACATCAAATCCATATTCTGGCATAAAGATAGGAAATGTAGAGAACAAACTTAGAACACTGTATTCTAATTCATATTTTTGATATAAACCATTAAGTTTAATAAAAAATTCAAAGCTCTTAATGCACACACCAATTAAATTTTTATTTTTCTTCTGTATCTAACCCTTATCATATCTTGGGGTCATCTCATCTCAATGTTTCTCCTACGAAACACCCATAAAAACTGGTAAATCCAAACGGATTTATATACCTCGACGGAAGACGAACTGTTCTTTACCTTTGCAATAAAGAATCTTTTTCTCTTTCTTGTGCGCTTTTATATTTTTTCGTAAAGTTCGTGAACGTCTAGACTCTCTGGATACCATTAATTCAAAATTATGAATGTTAATTTACGTGCAATTTAAAATTTAACCCTCCCACATTTAACCCACAAATTGCCATTATGGGACCTACTCCCAACTTGCTCAAAACAATATTGCAATATACTAAAACTTATTTCGAATACTAGTCGTTGTTTTTATATAAAAGAATTTAAATATCTTTTATTATGTTGAAACTAGTTAAGTCAGTACATTTGAGCACGTTTACTCCCTATTAACTGCAAGGTTTCTTCAAAACCCCTCTCTACGCCTTGACTGAATTATTGTTTATCACTTCATCAGACTCTGAGGTACCTGCATACCTTCCCGAGGAGTCTGTTGCCATTCTGAGACGCGGTGTTGGTAGGCCTGTCAGTTTTCGTAAATAATTTCAGGGCTACATCCTTTATGTATTTTTTGATTGGAACAATCTTGAGGTCTCTTAGGATCTCATTTGTCTTTTATTGCGTCCCATATTTTAATCTAGAGTTGGGCTCTGCCACTTTGTCAATATGATGATATCAATGACTATGTTTAAAGAACACTATTATCTTTATAGGTGTAATTTTAATAATAGTTGAGGTACATGTGCTACTTTCAAAATTCTTGCAACTAAGCCAGAAAGACCATTTATATCGCATGCCACATGCCACATATCCCATACTTAATATGCTCATACTCAAACCACTGCAATAAATTTAGTAGCTCATAATTTTAAACTGCACTGCAATTTGAAAATCAATCATCAATATTTGAAATGTTGATTTTTTGACACTACACTGATAACCTCAAATTACCTGCTACATTGCGTTGGTTAAAGTTATGTTTTAGTCAAAAAAAATCACTACTGAAAAGTGAGAAATTTAATCAAACACCAAATTTGAATATTTGCACTGCGGTGAGCTCTTCATAAACTTTTACCTGTAACACACCTCCCCGCTTCTCGCAAAATTGCACAAACTTTATCAATGTTTACACTTGAAACTTGCAATTGAAAATTTCACTTCAAATATCACAGATACATTTAAGGCACGAATACAAACACAAAACCAAAACAAAACCAATACATGTAAACATTCCCATACTGAGAGATTAAGTACTTCGATGCTGTTTGCTTATGTGCAGATACCAAAAGGACGTGTATATATGCTCTCTACAAACATATTTGATATCTGAATAATCAATTTTGTTTACCTTAATTTTGCACAAAACCCATAAATTCATTGGTTTCGCAATGAATATAGAATTTTTCATGAAGTTTACCTGGAAAACAATAAAATCGTAGCCCGATTGCAGCTTTTCCAGATAAAAACATTCTAAAATTGTTTTTGCTTCTCGGAATTATTCAACAATATTTATGGATGGATAACGACTTAATACATATTTGGATAACTTTTATGCAGGATTACAAAGCAAAGGATAGCATGTAAAATAAGATGTTATGTTATGAATGGATTATCGTGATTTCAAGCATCAATTGTTGATATCAAATCGAATATGATATCTTTAAAAATATTTGTTTGTTTTGAATTTTAATGTATTGTTTTAAAAGAATAAAAAAAGTAGATTAAACATATTCAAAAGACATACAGTGAAGCTGTTAAGGAATAATATTGTCTTTTGATTCAGTAAACAATTGCCAGTAAAAAACTATCACTGAGCAAATAATTTATATACTGAAATATGGTTGTAGCATATTTCCATTA